GCTGGGTCATATTTTGCCTTGCTCCACACAGGACTGTACCCAGACAGAGAGGAAAATCACCACATGTAGCTGGCAGTCTAAGCCCAGAGTTGTATAACATTCTGGAAAGCCTTAGGGGATACTAGAGTACTCTGACCCATGGCCAACTGACCTGCCCCAAGAGATCAGACAGCTCAAAGGGGACTGCAGAACTGTGGATATTTCCTCCAGTTTGGGGACGTATAAAGGAATCCTGGTTTCAGGCCCCTGCTCCTGCCCTAGGAGTCTGCAAGGAGAAGGGCCAATTTTCTGCTCTGGTGAGGGCCTCTCGGAGATGAGGGGGTCTGAGACATTTATGAGGTTATTGTCTGAGGCAGAGTGAACTCTTATTATATGCCATGAACTATTTGATATGTCTTTTGTAACGGTTTTATAATTCAGTCTTCACAACACTCCTGCAAGGTGTTTTCATTTTATAGTTGAGAAAACTGAGGCCCAGAGAGGGCAAGTCACTTGTCCAGAGTAGTAAGAGTATTAGAATTTGGGCCAGATCTGCCTGACTTCAAGGTACACACACTTGGGCTTTTGTCAAACCACCCGGCTCCCCTCCAACTAAATTGCATGAACCTGTTGGCATCCAGAGGGGATCCCACTCTCAGGAAGACATCCCACACCCATCCCTCCCCACATACACACAAAATTACCCCACCACTGGGAGCCCCTAGAAGTGCTGACTCTGGCTTGGATTTCTCTTTGGGGCATCAATTGTTCTGATAACTAAGGACAGCTAATTTTTTTATCAAAAGAAAAACACGCATGGAGGCTTAGTATATGCTAGACATTACTAGATCCCGGGTCAATTTCTTACCTTATTCCTTTCTCTTTTTCCCAAATGAGGGGAGGGGACAATTCACAACAAAGAATTGAGACCTGGAGGGCAGAGAGTAAGAGAAGGGCAAACAAGGGACCATCTATAAGAGCACTGCCAGGGAGCCCAAAGGGCCATGATTTCAGTTGATACGTTGATTTAGGACAAGTTATTTCTCCATTCATCAAAAAAGAATCAGGTGGCATAATGATAAGTCTTGGTATATAATAAATAATTAACACGTTAGCTATCCTGGATTCAGGCCCCTGCCCCTGCCCTAGGAGTCTGCAAGGAGAAGGGCCAATTTTCTGCTCTGGTGAGGGCCTCTCGGAGATGAGGGGGTCTGAGACATTTATGAGGTTATTGTCTGAGGCGGAGTGAATTAGCTACTACTTTTCTGTTTTATTAATTTTATAGAGGGCAGAGAAGAAAATAATAAAGGCAATGAAATTGTGGAGAAAGGCACAAAATTAGGAGCTAGAGGAAAGCTATAATCCAAGAAAACAGAAAAGGAGAAAAGAAAAGGTAAAAAAATAAAAAAGACATAAGAAGATAAAATAAAACAGCAACCATATATAATAATTAGGAGAGGAAGTCACAACCAAGCGGAAGTTAGAAAAAAAAATAAAAATAAACTAATTATTCAGGGATGTAACTATGGAATGAAATGAAAATGTAATGTCTCCAGTCTTGGCCTCTCACACGAAGCTGCAAAGCCCATGCGGGTGAAGGAACTGGCAAGGAGGACCAGCTCTTTAAGTTGTCCAGGGTGTGATAAAACAAACAAACAAAAAGGTGAGGAGAAGGGAAGAAGCAAGATGGGGTATTAAACTAAATTAGCTTGAAGTGAATGGGAAAGGAGAAACCACAATAAGGAATAAAATCACCAAAAAAAAAAAAGCAAAAAGCAGAAAGTAAATAATCAAAGAGTAAGGGAAGGAAGGAAGGGCAGTGAACTAGTGGGACAGACTCCAGGGAAGAGGACAACCAAAGAAGAGTGGCCCTGAGGACGAAAATAGAAGGGGACTGGCGAGCAATGCGACAGAAGCAAACTGAGAAAAGACTAATAGGAGGTGATTTGGGGTTTGGGTCTCCACTCTGCCCCAAAGGGACACTGACAGAAGAATGGCCACTTAATCTCTCTGAGCTCTAATTTCCTTCTTCAATTTTAACACAAGAAGATGGAGTTTGATGATCTAAGGACCTGACTAGAGTCTCCCTGGAACACTCTACAAAAATAGAGTGTTAAATCCAGCCTCTTAAATCCAGCCTCCCCTCTCTTTCCACTTCAGTTGCTGGCTTGCAGGGCTCTATTCAAGGGCTAGAAATAATTCCAAAGAGGTAAAGAGAAAAGGAAGACCAACATGTAGAAGCAATGTAAAGCACACTCAGAAGTAAAGAAACAAATGAATAAAGTCTTACAGAAAAGAAAATAAAAGACATCCAAATGAAACAAAATATTGTAATACCCACTGCATAGCGGGCATAGTGGTAATTAAAGTTTTCCTTTGTTATTATTACATATTTATTTTATCTTTATGCCCTTGTTATTATTCCTTAGTATCAATTCTCAGTTAAAATTTTAAAACAAAACTATGGCATCCAATTGGGTGGGCAGAGAAAACATGAGAGTGAATATGTCAGAGAAGGAAAAATATAGCTACATGCCTGCAATGACAGAAAACTAAAAGAAAAATAATCTGATTGGAAAAGGCCTCAAAGATCCTATGGAGCTGGGACCTTTCAAAACAAAAATCGACAAACAATAAAGGTCTAAAACAGAAAAGTCTTAACAAAAAAGTTTTGCAACTGGTGTGCCTAGCCTGCTGGTGTGTCACATTTGGGTTCCTGTTGTGACTATTTGGCCACTGGGCTACTGGTTGTAAACTGCCTCATCCATTTGTCACAATTTGCTATGTCATTACTAAACAATAATAAAATAAATAATGCTAATTATCTACTTAAAAGTAAAAAAAGACCTACTTATAAAAGCAAAACTAAAGAGAAGTTCGTAACAAAAATTAGAGAGAACAGCAGCTGGTTATGCTCAAATACATACAGGAGGAGAAAGCAAATCTCCCTGTTACAAAGTGCAGCTAAAAATAGATGATGAAATACTTATTATTTGAGCTGGAAGGAATCTTAAAGGTTAAGATAGGACTTGAAAACTGGTTTTGCAGTTCTGTGTGTCCGATGTGTGTCCTTTTGCTGGAGCGTAGGCTCCTGGCCGATGGGATCGTACCAGGTCACGTGGGGGTTTATAATCACTGCAGAGGACACTGCAGCTGGTAGAGTGTAAACATGTAATTCATGTTTGTTGAATGAATGAGGGAATTAGTGCATTTCATTCAACCATTCATTTTACAAACGTCTGGAGAGGCAGAGAGTGTCCTGACTGTCAGTTCAGATCTCACGGCACTCTTCTGCCATCCTTCATTTGCTCCATGCCTCCTATCAAGGAACACACAGAGTGGCCCTCAGGGACCATGGAGTGGCCCAGGAGCTAAGAGCCAGCTCCACAAGTCCTGGCTCTCTCACTCTCTGGGGTCCTCAGCAAAACCCTTTTTTTCCAAGCCTGTTTTCCTCTCTGTGAAATGCTGTGATTGAATCACGTCATTTATATGATTTAGTTCTAAGAAGGAAATAAAACCCTACCTTACTTCAAGGAAAATCTCTGAGACAAATCTGGTTTTCAAAGGAAATCTTGAACTGAAAGCAGCTTCCAAGACTTCTCAGAAGGACCATACAGTTGAGCATCAGTTGATAAACGAGTGTGTACAATGTAATTTTTGGATATATATGAACAATCTTTAAAATTTTTTTCACGCAAAGAAAAGAACTACACAATTCTTTCTGTATCTGACTTTTCTTTGGAAAGTGGCATAGAACTTTCAGAAAGGTGAATTTCAAAGAATTTTTATTAGTTATCTGAATTTTGATAATTAGATTTTTTGCCTGTATACAGAAAACTAATCTTTGGTTCCCCACTAGTCTCCTTAAATTGTGAAGCCGGCTTTTGCCTTCTATCTTTAGGGCTGTGGACTAAAATAAAGGTCGTGCTTTTAAAAAAAAAACAACAACTTTCAAAATAATCACTGTTCAAATCTCGAACACTAAAAACTCTGATTTCCATTTGTGTCTGATGGGAACAACTTCAGGCTCGGCAGACAGGAGAAAGGCCAAAGGCAGCTGCAAAGGGCACACTACGGGAGCTTGTGCCCGGTTCCTCCCTCCTCTGCACTCTGTCCTCCCTTCCCCTTGCTTCTGCACCTCCACAGCTCACACAAAGGCCTCACAGGATTAGCCGCTCCCAAATAACCTTAGGTAAAGATATCACCTGTCCAGAAGATTAAAACATTTTTGTCCAGAAGCTACGCTTTTCCTTCTGCAAAACTAATTATCTGAGTCTCTTCCATATGCATACTGATTTTTTTCCTTATTTTCTTTATCAGACAAAAGATACATTCTTTCTTTTTAATCCTCCCACTCCTCTCCTTATCTGTGATTATATACACTGTGCCTGTTACAAATTCTTGAAGAAAAATCATTCAAATCATCTATTACTAGACTGTAAGTAAAATGAGGCTTGTGCTTTCACCTGAATTCTTAGAGAAAGACCCAAGGATTTTTGAACAGTGGCCTAATGTTGTCTTGCAGTCCAATAAGTGTAAAGCATCGTAACAATCCCTTAGTTTAAAAGGGGTTTTGTAAGTTGCAATATACTGTTATGTCACCTGATGTTCAGATACATTTTGAGTAGATATTATCGACATGTAAGTGTCATGAGTGCTACAGAGTGAGTAGCCTAAGAACACGTAGCCGTAGCCGCAGCTGGTGAGAAGCTGTTACTCTAATCAAATGATCCTACTTCCTAATTTAAGGCTCTTTCATTGCACAATGAAACAATGTTCTGTTCTTTTTCAGTTCAGAAAATAAAGAAATGGCTTATTTCTTCTATATATGCATAGAAAAGTTTTCTCTCCTTTGATAAGGGATAATCTTACCAAAGAGTGAAAGTCCAAGAAATATTTACGATGTCAACCCTTCCTAATCAGAAGAGAACAGAAGAATTTGGCCCCAGAGCGCTGTCATCTTCGTGCTGATATCTGAAGTTTGCCTGTCTTACGTGTGTGACCTGACGTGTCCTGGTTCACTTTTCCTATCAAGTTCCATGAACTGTATTTACAGCAAGGATTCCTGTTGTCAATTTGGATTAACTCAGGTATTACAAATCTACTTTATCTGATTTCCTTTAGAGAGGGACAAGTGGAAGTTGCTTCTTTTCTGAAAGGAGAGAATGCAGATATGAAAATGAGTGCCTTGTAAGGGCTGCAGGCTGAGAGTAGTGGATTCAGTCTGAATGGACTAAATCAAACACAGCAACCCCTCTAGTAGATGTCAAGCCCGTGTGTGTGCGTGTGCGTGTGTGTGTGTGTGTGTGTGTGTGCGCGCGTGCGCGCGCGTGCGTGTGCGTGTACAACATCTTAAAGACCTTAGACTCATCTAAGAAAAAGTATTTGGATCATCCGAGAACAAAAACGGGAGCTTAAAAAATACAGCCTTTTTGTTTAAGAAACTTCAAGAGGAAAATGTGGAGGAGGGAGATAAGCTTTTCTACAGATTTTAGAAAACCCCCATAACAAGAAAATGTCAGGTTTTGACTCTCCTTACTCCTGAGGAGTTAACAGTGTTCCCAGTGCTGTCTCAGGATGTTCTGCCTTCTGTCCCTGAGGCTGCCAGGAATAGAGTGAGGCTCACTCCATGAAATCCAGACCGGGTTTTTGTTTCTCTCCCATACCAACCATCACCAAAGGCTAATCTGACAGATACATGGTTCAGTTCCCTCCCACTCACAGGTGAGAAAAACAACAGGCAATTCTAAAGAGTCAAAGGGAGAAAAGCCACAGAGGCTGAGGAGTGAGGAAGCTAGGCAAGAAAATTAGCTCCTTAATAATTTGGATAGGATTTTGTTCTAATCTTCCAAAATGCCCATTTCTAGACAGTGTTCTCTGCTATAAATCTGCCACTTCAAACACAAAGAAATAGGATTGCTCTTAATCCCTTAAATAATTGAAGTCACACTCACCAGCAGCTGTTCTGTCCTACTTCCTGGTGACTGCTCATCATCTGTGTTCCACCACAAAACTCATGGTGGTGCCGTCAAAAGAAGGGGGGGCAATGATCCTTGGCCCCAGGGGCTGCGAAGTGATGCTGATGACAGGCTTGCCATGCAGCTGGGCGAAGCCTTTGGCTCCCACGAGCTGGGATGTGGCTGCCGGGGCAGAGGAGGAAGAGGAGGCGGGAGACTGACCAGAGGCTGTGAAGTATGGGGCCTCAGTGAATGTCGAAGCTGCCTCTTTGCTGGGGGGCTCTGTGGCCATCTGAGAGAGCTCACTGCTCCCTGTAGTGTGAGCAATTGGTGTGGGCTGCAGGGCGTTGGCGGGCAGCACTGTGGGCAGAAATCCAGGGTAGATCATGTAGGTGGGTCCATAGGCACCGGGACTCAGGGCTAAGGGGGGCACAGGGAGAGACATGGGAGCCACAGCCTGCTGCTGGGAGGTCATGGGTACATCCACATACTGCCCTGTCTCAGGGTCAAACAGTCTCCGGGTCATGGGCTGTACTGGAGTGTCCACCAGATAGTACTGGCCAGTCGTCACATCCAGGAGCATCTTGCGCTGGGTCTGCTGAGGCTGTGGCTGCTGGAAGGGATCTGTGGGGACGGGAGCTGCGCCTGCAGGCGCCGGGGCAGGCATGCCAGGTGGAGAGAAGCAGAGGACCTGGGGCTGGGCCCCCTGCAGGGTGAAGGGCAGTGGCTGTTGGTGGTAGATGGCAGTGGGAGGATGCTCTGGGCTCTGCGGCCCTGGAGGGGCAGTTACCGGCTCTCGTGGGTTGTCAGGTTTGGTACGCCACGCTGGACGGCTGGTTCCACTGACTTGGGAGCCTTTGGAGCTGCTAGGGACCTGACTGCGGGCGCTCAGGGGGGGCAAGCTGCAGAGAGTGGTCACTGAGGAGGCCGGGGCCCCCTCCCTCCCAGCCCCAGGCCTGCCTGGAAGCTCCCCAGCTGCAGAGCTTCCTTTAAGGGGGATAGTCAGATAATTCTCACAGTCACTATTGTTCTTATCCAAACTGCTGCCATTTTTCCTGTTGGTCACCTCATCGAGAGGTGCCCTGGTGGCTGGAGAGATCTTGAGGGACCGTAGTCCCTGAGACTTGATGCCCTTTGCTGCTGAAGGACTTTCTGGAGAAAGCCCCTGTGGGAACTTGCCAGCGACACCCCCAGTTTTCTGGGTGCTGCTGGCACTAACTGTGAAGACATTCCGGTTGCTGGGGAGTGGTGGGAGGGGCTGCAGGGGCTGGGTTCTCTCCACATCCTTGTGGACTGGGGGGATATAGAGGGAACGGGGCCTTTCCCTGGCCAGGTTCTCAAAAGCAGCGGCTCGAGCAGACACACTCTCCATACTCGGATTGGAGTTTCTCCGCTGCAGACGCTCCATGGGCGCCCCTCGCAGGACCACTCCGCCCTTGTTTCCTGTGCCGCGCTCTCCTGCCTCACCCAGGCGTTTGGCCAGCTTGTCCGGGTCCCTCTCGGCAACCCCGGAGCCTTCCCTCTCCTCGCTGGCAATGAGCGACAGGACGTGGCTGTCTGTCATGATGGGCAAGGGGTCGCTTTTGCGCTTCCACTCGTTCCTGTCGAAGCTGTACAGCTCTTCCATGGACCTTACAGCTGCCGTCAGCTTCTCCAGGGCATTCCGAGATGGCTTGGGGCCTTTCGCTTCCTCCTTGACCTCTTCGTCCTTGGCCTTCTCTGGGGTCTTCTGAGCAGAAGCCTTGGAGACAATCTTGAGCACAGGCAGGTATGAGCCCTGCTCAGGCTTATTGGGAGCAATGGTGGCCACGGGCAGCCTGCCAGATGCCCTGTGAACCAAGACCGTCCCTTCCAGAGAGGAGGAATTCAAGCCACTGCTGCAGCCACCTTTGCCCAGGCTCTCCCTCAGCTCTCGGTCCATGCTGTCTTCTCTCTGGTTCACCACAGCCTGGCATGTAATCACCATGGGGGAGAGGGATCTGGACCCACCAGCTGCAGGAGCCAGCTGCCTGGGTTTGGGCCCCGTCAGCCCCTGCTCCGGGGTCACACTGCCCTTGTCACTGCTATCTGCTGACCCTTTGATTAGTTTCCTGACATCTCTCACTTGGTGGAGGGGTCCCTGAGCCTTGGATTTGTCTCTGACGTCTCTCACCTGGAACTGGGGCACTTTTTCCAGATTGTCCCCCCGGAAGAGTTTCTGCTGCACCCTGCTGTTGTCCTCAATGGTCCTGAGGAGGTTAGAGGCGCTGCCACTGGCCAGTTTGGGCGTGAGCAGCTTGGCAATGTTGAAGTCGGAACTTGGCTGCTGCACACTCCCCAGCCGGATCTTGATTTCCGGAGCCTTGGGCCTGATGGGGGCAGTGGAGGTGGCCTGGGCAGCTGGGTACTTGGTGGCCTGTTTCCCTGGCTGCTTGTCTTTGGATGTCTGCTGGATGTTGGGGACAAAGAGACGAGACATGATGGTGGACTTGCTGGCAGAGATCTCCCCGAGATCAGCCCTCCAGTCGCCCCCTTTGGGGAGTTTCAGCTTCCCAATGGGGGCTTTTTCTTCTCGCTTCTCGGCCTCTTTCTCTTTCCACGATCGGAATGCACTGTTCTGACTACGGAGGAAGATGCCCTTGACAGTCTCTGATGCATTCTTTTTAATTTCACACACTTCTTCTGTGTGCCCATCGGCGAAATTTCGGCTGGAGCCTGCATTGCTCTCCCGAGGAGCACTGGCTTTGAAAATTGGGGATTTAGACCCGGCTATAGACCCCTCCCCACCAGGGTCTGACACGCTGAGCACCGTGTACTCGGAGCTGGCCTCCGAGTGGCGAGAGCTCTGCCTCTGCAGGCCCCTCTCCCGCTGCTTCTCACCCCCAGGGGGGCCCTCTAGCTCCTTGGATGTACTGGAGAGGCTGTGGTGAGATGTGTCAGTGACTTCTCCCCTCTCCATTTTGAACTCATGTTCCCGCTGCATCTTCTTGGAGATGACATTTTTGAGCAGACTGGAAGCAAACTTGGACTTCTTCTGGGCGCCCTCCACACGGGAGACAGGTTTGCTGCTCTCAGAGGTCTCTGAGCCATCGTCTGTGTACACTGACCCGGGACCTTTGTTGGAGCCTTTGGTGGTCTTGCAGGGCCCAGTGGCTGAGCTGGCTTTGCTCTCACTGCGAAAATTCAGAGGCTCCAGAAGGGTGACTACGCGGGAGCCAGTCTGGACCTGCTTCTGGAAACACAGAGGTGTCTCCACGTGTTTGATTTCCCCCTCAACTTTGCTGACCACGAACTCCAAGGCCTTGGTCTGGGACTTCCTGGAGTGGATGTAGAGCTGGTCTGCAGTCGTCCTGGCTCCACCGCCCTTCCTCAGACCTGCGGCCACCGAGGCCGCACTGCTCCTGAGCAGGCTCTGTTCCACCCTGGCTCCAACACCTCCACATTTTAGGTCCAGGAAGGTTGACCAGCGTCCGAAGCCGACTTCGGAGAGCGTGGAGGACTCCCGAGAGCTGATGTTCAAAGCCTCAAAGTAGGGGTAAGCGAGGCTCCGGAAGGCACGGGAGGTCAGGTTACGCACCTCTTTGTCCGCGTCGTCCAGTTCACTCACGGCACTGGAGGCCCCGCTCGAATAGTCCACCAGCTCCTTCGCCCGGATGGCCCCGCATCGGGTTTGCAGGCGAGCAGGAACAGCGATGAATTTCTTTGCATGGTCCTGAGCCACCGCTGCAGCCGGGTCTTGCTTCAGTGAACTTGAATTGTGTTCAGCAGCTGTAGAGACGCGGAGGCTCATGTCGCCTTCATGCTTGGCAGCATAAATAATGTTTTGCTTTGCACGCACGTTGCTAGGCTCATTTATAGCCCGGGAAGTCGGTTTGATTGATAGGAGGATCTGGCTCGCTGCATTCCCACAGCTGCTTGCGGCGGCTGCTACCCCTGAAGCTGCCTCCGGGGGCTGTGGCAAGGGCTCAGGCAGAGTGGCAGTGCCAGGGCCAGTGGGTGGGGGAGTGGGGCCACTGTCAGAAGGGCCACTGCCCACTTCTGTGCTGCTGGTGTTGCGACCACTGCTGCCTGCGCTGGGGCGGGCGGGATCACTGCTGGTGGGGCTGGGTGTCCGGGTGGCATTGGTGCTGGGAGTGGTGCTGAGGTAGCAGCTGTTATCCTCTTCAGTGGGGGTAGTGACGTCCCCTGGGGTCTCATCGCTGCCACCAAAGGAAGCATAGTCCACGAATGAATAGATCACGTTGTTGTCCTCGAAATCCCAGCGGGAGGCCAGCCCTACGTCGAAATCCATGTCCTGTTCAACCTCACTCAGCTGGATCTCGTGGGTGGTGATATAATGAGGCTCCTCATTTGCTGGGGGGCCCCTGCTGCCCTGAGACTTGGCAATAATGTCTCTGCACTCTGTTCCATCTTCTCCGCTACCTGCATCCGCGCCCCCTCCTGCTTTTTTCCCTCCCACTCCTCCCCGGGGCTGGCAGCTCACGGCGCTCTCACCACTGTCACTCTCAAAGCCTAAAGATGAAGACGAGGTGGCCAGAGCCCCTGCCGATGTGGTGGTTTCATCCAACTTGGAAAGGCCACTTTCTGCTTTGTCCCCCAGGGAGGAGGAGGAGGAAGAGGAGGAGAAGGACAAGTTACTGCACTCGTCATTGGAGGAGAGTTGGGGTCTGGAGAGTTCCGAGGAAGCAGGATTCTCCTGGGGGGTTGGAGCCTTGCACTCTTGACCACTGGGTTCATCCTGGGCTTTCTCTTTGGGACTCCTGGAGGGCCTTTGATCCCCAGATGAGCGCTCCAGTGTTAGTGTCACGGTCCGGGGACTCTCCTTCTTGACTCCAGCTGAAGCACACATCTCTACATATTGCGCTTCTCCCTGGGAGCAGGCTGATGGCTTGGGCAGTGGCTGCAGCTGCTGCTTTAGCTCCTGGCTATCTTGAGCTCCGCTCACCCGGTCCCCCACCTCCCTCAGTCTGGCCTGTGGATCCAGCTCAGGAGTGGCCGCTTCCATTCTGAGCCCTTGCCTAGGTATCGGCAACAGGAGGAAACAGTGGTGAGCGCTCGGGCTGTCCTGGATCCCTCCCCGGCACTGGAGGGGCTGCAGAGTTGCCCGAAGCAGGGTCCCACGTGCCTGGACTGGCCCCAAGGCTGCAGGCACCACTGCCACTGCCGCCACCACCTCCCAGTTCTTCAGCCCCTGTGGCGAGGCCGGGACAAGCCTGACGGAGGTGGGAAGGCTTCTGGATGGGGTAGCAGAGGTGGTCTGTGGCCAGGGGGCTGCTCCTCTGGCCGAGACTGTGGCCACCTTCCTGTAGCTGAGCTGTTCTGTCCAGTTGTTGGCCTGGCACTGTCGGCAGCTAGGAGTCTGAATGCCATCAGCCACGGAAGGAGCAGCATCTGTAGGTCGACCCCGAGACTCCCAGAAATGAAAGGAAAGCATGTGCTGTTTCTCGTGAAGCCTTGTCCCTTTCCTGGATGGGGCAAGAGTGGGTCACGTCATTCCAGAAATATTTTTAGTGTCTATTTCCTAGTTATAGTGAAACCATACTTGAGCGTAGAGAGGAGGCTCTAAGATGAAAAGAGAAGGTTGGGGGCGTAGGAGGCATGTGGGTTCTAATTTAAACCAACCAAATGTCCTATGTAATCTATTATAGTGTTGTCTAGCAAGTATGAAAGTATTCTTCACTTACTGCCACTTTTACTCCCAAGTCTGATTAAATGTTTTTTTTCCCCTCTTGTTCTTAAATGAAATCCAAATTCTGCATTGCGTTTCAAATCAATTAAGGACAATCCAGAACAATTTCAAAATCTCCCTTCTAGAATCCTCACTGTGCAGACTCAAAGTACAAAAGGGCATTTTAAAGACTTAAAACATAATACTTTAAATAAACTTTTTATTACAGTGACTAAAAAGGAGAGTGTGGGGTCAAAACTGACACTACTTCAACTCCCAACACTATCCAATCAACCTCAAAATAGTTCCCTAAACTAAAACTGTGACAAGACAATAAACCTCCAATTAAATATAGCCTGAGCTGCAGCCTCCCGATTCGGTTACACTGGCTGAACTCCAGACCTGCAGGGCACCAAGTCAATAGGCACGAAAGAACAACGAACACACTTACCCTTCATGAGTACAGTGTAGCTTGGAGGGAGGTTCAGAGAGGAAATGTGACCCGCTGGCATGCCCCATGGAAACAAAGCCAAAATCCCAGGTCACTGGCTCTGAGGTACATCCATTTCAGATAATTCAGTAGTTGTGAATTTGCCAAGCAACCCAGATGGGGGTTCTATGCTTGCTATCCTCAGGGCAGATCACTTGGGTTATAAGTGGAGAACCACAACTCTTGGTTTTGGTGAGATCTGGCCCTCGTCACCTGCCAGGCCCAGTTCCACCACTATACATAGCCTATGTGTCACTTATACCGATTGAATAAAGCACTATTTTAAACATCCACGTTTGTGAAGAACAAAAATAACACCATCGACCATCCCCTTCCAACATGAAAGCCACCCCCGCACAGAAAAATGTTCCTTCCTCTGGTTAGGCGTGGGGGTAGGTATGGAGTGGGGGCCTCAGACAACTGAAGCATCTACCTTCCCATACTGAGATGTGGACAACACAGCCCTGCCACTCTTCCCACAACAACTTGCTTCTGCCTATATCATTGACATTAAAAACACAACACAGGGAAAAACTGGAAATATCAAGTCTCACGATGTGTAAATGAAGCCAGAGCATAAGGTGAAGAGAGTAAAAGAGAAAAGGAAAGGGAAAGAAACAGAGAGAGGGAGAGAGGAAGAGAAGGAAGAAGAATTTGCCAATTTGCTCTCAGCTTTGTGATAATGGGGACCATGCTCAATGGTACAAAATCCTAGATTCTTCATGATAATAGAAAATTTTAAATAATGATGATTATAACTAAAACTTATAAGTGCTTACTATGAGCAAAGCACTATTTGGAGAATTTTTAAATGTGTATATATTAATTTTTTTAATCCTCATAACCACCTGAGTTAGGTATAATGACTATAGTGACTTTATAGATGGGAAAGCTGAGTCACAGAGATGGTAAAGAATTACAGAGCAGAATTCAAACCCAGGCCGTCTGGCTCCAGAGTTTGAATGTTTACCACAATGCTACAGCGCTTTGCTGACTTCCATGCTCAAACACTCTCCATGGCATGTTGATGCTCAGCTGGAAGGGAGCACTGCACCCTCCAGGAATTTCATCTGCATGACCACAGATCAACCATATAACCATTTCTTGGTTTTCTTCTCTCTTTCTTTCTTTCTTTCTTTTTTTTTTAAATATCATCAACCTGTGTATACATTATATACTCAGGGATTAAGGAAACTGACACTATAAATAAAATGAAGTAAAATATAATTGGCTCCTTCAGGCAAACAGAGTATTTTTAATCTTCCATTTTATCTTTGCTTTGAGGCCTTGAACAATAAATCCCGAACACTGTCTCAAGTACTATGAGCCATACACACTTCATAACTGAATAGAGGACAGAGTTTCTGCCCACCAAGACAATTATAATCTAAGGAGGAATTTTCCATCACTTTCCATATGGCCCTGTCTGTCATGACAACTTGATAGATTTCAGTAGTTCCCCCTGCAGCTGGCAAACAGCACTGGAAGGTCAGATGCCCTGGGTACAGTGCGTAATTGCTTAATGCCTGAAGTTCTGGAAACCGACTTCCAGAGTCTTGCTTCCTCCAGTGAGCACAGTCCTAGCCGAAGCTCCTCAAGAGACAAAGGGAGAGGTTATCCTAGAAGAGGTACTTACCTCCAAAATATCTGTGTGGCACCTTTTCCTTTTTCTATATGAATGGATGCAAGCGTAGGAAAAATTTTGTAGGAAAATCTTTTTCAAATAAAGTCAATTTCCAAAAAGTAGAATTTAATTCAAACCACAAATTCTATTTAAAAATCAAACAAACAGAGAATTTGGAGGACAAATTGAAAGATTAAAAAAAAAAAAAGAAAGAAACTCATAAATGAAAAACAATGACCAATTGAAGGGTAAAATGGAATGATTACCCCAAATTGCCTGCCCTCTGGCATTTTCAGAGTTCCTCTATTTAAAAAAAACAAACACAGAATTTGGAGGACAAAATGAAAAATTAAAAAAAAAAAAAGAAAGAAACTCATAAATGAAAAACAATGACCAATTGAAGGGTAAAATGGAACGATTACCCCAAATTGCCTGCCCTCTGGCATTTTCAGAGTTCCAGGCAGTATATGTTACTATGAGATAGGCTCAATTCTGTTGAAATAATTTGCAGGCATTTGGTAGGCATGGAGCCTTTTATTCCTTAATATGACTGCAGTCATTTTTTTTACAGATGAACTCAGTGATTGCCTACCTGATCTCAACTCTTGAGCAATTAACAGTGACTAATGTCACAAGCATCAGCCCATGTTAAGCAGGCACACTTGCCAGACTAGGCAAGGTATATTTGGTAGATAACTTTATATGGGAATTCAAAGAGCAATAAAGGAAATGACTCAGTGTCATTATTTTTACCTCTACAGAGAAAGTTTCTCAACATCCCCTGAAAGTCTTGTGAGATGTATCATAGTATGGAAAACTTTAACATGATTAAAGAAATTAAGAATGAAGGCCAGTCTATTCACCAACTGGTAAAAGGGTATGGTTATACTTCAGGTCTCTGACAGTGGCACAATATGATAGACAAGCAAATCATTTGAAAGGAAGAAAAGTTTATCAGAGGCAGATCACTAGACTAGAAATGAAAAGATAGATTTAAACTCTGACTCAAAGTAGGAACCAAAAGGTGATACCAAACACAGACATTCTCAGGATTCTCTGAGTTAACAGGAGAGAGGTATTCTCTGATTACTTTAAGGCTTTCCATAAACGCGTGCACACCTTTTCCTGCATGCCTATTCCAGCACACTTATGTGAAGGAGGCTTTTCTGTTGGCCACTGTTTAACACCCAGAGTGTGGCCCAAGTAGGCATACCTAAGAATTACATCCAAAGGAAAAGCACCATATTATTTATATTTTGCTTGGGGGGACCAAAGAGTGTCTATTTCTTTAGTTATTGAAGTAAATGCTTTACATATTTTAGCTTGTTTAATCGTCTCAAAAAACACTGTGAGAGAGAAATTGTTATTCCCATTTTATAGATAAAAAATTGGAGTTGAGCGAAGACATGTAGTCTGCATGACTTTTCACAATTATTAAGGGCTGGAGCCCTGACTGACCAGCTGTGAGTGACTCAAGTCCACACTCAGTTGGTGATTGAGCACTCAGCCCATGAGATGGAGGTTACAGGCTCATTCCTACTGCTGGCCAATTAGCTGTTCTACAGCTTCAACCAGCTGCCTGCAAAAGGGACCAGCTGGTCACCATGGAGTCCAAGGAAATGGAGTGGCACGATTTGTGTAAAACTATCCTTGCAAATAGAATACAACATGTACCACCAGGACGAATAAGTAGCGCTATCTTCTTGTGCAAAGAAGAGCACATTATTGTAGACTCATGCCATGTACATTGCAGGCACAACCCCTTAACTATGCCCTTGAAACTTGGAAGGACAAGAAGGAACAGTTCACCACCAGAAATAAAACTTTAACAGACACTCAAGCCTGCACGCAGAGGGCAGATGTGATGCAAAAAAGGTTCTTTATTTTTCCCCTGTGAGTCAGGGTGTGTATCAAGTGGTTGCTCTCTCTGGTCTCCTTTCCTCCTCCCTCTTCTCTCAGTGATCTCATAGACATTTTGCCTTCCTTTTCCTCACCCCCATTCCCCATCTCCTTCCTCTTGGCCCCTGATGATAGTTTATGTTCTCTAAAAAAGCAAATAATTTCATTGTGTGTTGCAGAGACGGTTTGGTAACTTACATGGATACAGAGAGGAAGATGGACAATAGTGGCCACCCTACTCCTATCTCCATGGCTCATCTGATTTTCTTTTGAGAGGTTGAGGTTTTGGTGTTTCAGATCTTACTGGATAAAGGAAAATTATACCTTCCAGACCAATGTCAAAGTGAAACATTGACATAACAAATAAATCTTCCTCTATGTAATATTGCACTTTGGAGAATCTAACTGTAAATGTTTGCTCGTCTCTCTGTTATCCCAGCCTGCAGGAGGCAGGGTCCTGAGAGGGGAGATGTGGAGTGTGCCTCCCTGGTCTGGGACAGCAGCTCAGAGAAGATGCCTCAAGGCTTTACTAAGTCACTGTAACTTTTTCCAGTTGGTGATGAAACAGAATTTAAATAACCAGTCAACTCAGCTGCCTATCTACAGTATAACATAGATGAATGATTTCTATGATTTTAGAAAGAAATGTTTTCTTTGCCCTTTAATTGCATTTCGGGAGCTAGAATCATGGTTTTGTTTTGTGTGACTTGGGAAAATATTTCTTCCTTTCTACATTTCTGATTTCAGACTTCAGCTATTTCAAACATGAGCCCTTAAAGATTTACTCAATATTTTATTTTTTGGCTTTTTATTTTCTACGAATACTTTGAATAACTACGAAAAGATTTTAAGATCTCATTTCTTGATTTGAATCTCATATTCAAATCTGCTGAAAACTCAAGTATTAAGATGCATATTAAGCAACTTTTTAGAAAACAATCTGATAGTTTCTATCATACAGAATAAGAACACTAGGGTTTAATAATATATGTACAGTGTCCGACCATGCTACTCTGAACAAGCCTGATCCCATCTGATCTTGAAAGCTAAGCAGGGTCGGGCCTTGTTAGTACTTGGATGAGAGACAACCTAGGAAGACCAGGTGCTGTAGGCTTACAACAACCATGTTTTTTTCTTTTATAATAGAAATAATTTTATTTTGGGAAATTTTAATTTCTTTTCTATAAACTTTCCTTAAGCTCATTCAGCTTAGAATTGAAGCAAAAATAACTCACACAGAGGCAGATCAAAGAAAACTTGCAGCTGTTTTATTATTTTATTAATGTAAGAAATGAAGTTGAGAGAATTTAAGTAACTTGCCAAAGGTCACACAGCTATGAGAAGCAGAGGAGGACTAGAATCCATGTCTCCCGACCCCAAATTCAGTGCTTGTTACTGTGATGCTCAAACTTTGCCATCAAAGTGACCAAAGGGAAACAGAGACTAAATTGCATTCTTAAAAATGTTTATGTTCTCTAAAAAAGCAAATAATTTCATTGTGTGTTGCAGAGAAGGTTTGGAAGAAGAGTCGGAGTCTGGAAATGTGTAACTTACATGGATACGGAGAGGAAGAAGGACAATAGTGGCCACCCTACTCCTATCTCCATGGCCTTTTATTAAGTTTCACAACAATGCTAGCTTTGTAATTTAGTAATAGTTATTATCAGGTTAGTAGATACAAGCTACAGCCAACTCCCAGATTCAGCCTCAAAGCCACCTCCATGTTCTCAGCTATTTTTTCTCAAGAATCTTTTTCTTATCCTCTAAAGTATCCTTTTCTAGTCCCTAGAGCAAGAAGTCTCAGAATCGGTCGGGCATGTGCACCCTCCCTGCAATGTGTCCTTGTGTGCAAGTCCACATCTACTTCTGATGTCCTCGTTGCTCCAAGCACCAGACACTCTGCTAGGAACATTCTGTACTGCAGGCATCTCTTACAACATAATACAGGGTCCCTAAAGCTCTAGGCAGCATTTATGGGAAGGGACTAAACTTCAGAGGTCCCCTCAATGAATTCATTTGGGTCTATAGACCATGGAGTTCCTTTGGGGTTGTGTATTATTGTGCTCTCTCTGCTCCCTATTTGCCCTTCTGCCATCCATTCTCCAGTTGTCAGGATGATTTTTTTGCAAATGCAAATCAGCTCTGCCACTCCCTCTCTGAAAACGCTTTCCTTTGCACTTGGGATAAAATCTAAACCACGCGAGACCTAGCTCCCACGTGTGTTTCCAGAGTTTATTGTGAGCAGTCACAACAAACGCTGGTCACAGCAGTTTTCTTTCTCCCTGTGTTATTCTTCCCTGCCTTGGGCTGTCAAACTGTTTGAAAACTCTTCCTCCCTTCCCCTGGTTCTTTAATACCTGGCTTCTTCTTATTCCTGTTTTAGCTTAGTCTTCATTTCCTCAGATCTTCCCTGACCATTCTGTCTAAAGTGGCTCTCAGAATGACCAGGTGTCCCATCACACCATACTGTCGCATCACATTACATGACAATTACCTTTATAAAATTGTTGTCCTGGTTTCTTGCCTATTAGGCTAGGTCATGTCCAACTTGTTTATTGCTTTAATCTCAACATCTAGGAAAATATAAGCTTCACAAAGGCAGAGATTTTCTTTTCTTTCTTTTTTACTTTTTTACTCTTGTTCTCTGATATTGTGCCCAGTGCCTACAAAAGGGCTACACAATAGGCACACAACAAATTTTTGTTGACTGTTGAATGAAGGGTAGAGACCCAGTAAATGCTGTTTTGTCTATATTATTTAATCAATCCATTAGTCAATAAATAGTTTAATTATTACTTTTGGATAACTGGAGAGAAGTTAGCAAAATTATTTAGGGAGAATTCTCCTTAGATGAATAGCTAAAAATGATTTATAACCATGCATCAAACCATTAAGATCTATGGGTATTATTAATATGTTATTTATAAACAGTCACAGCCAAAGTCCTTAGAAAACACTTAGGACTCAAAAGTTAGCAAACTAGTCCCTCGTTATCTTCTTTACCTTATAAATTTGCTTGGTAACAAATTTTTAAAAATAATGCAAAGATAGACTTCCAAATACAGTGTTATCAAATAATACAAATTCAGAATGAATAAATTTTAAAATAATGACTTTTGTTTACAATGCAACTCAACAGTTGATGCAGTAAATTCAGAGTCGGCCCCTTTGGCATATGCCACAGTACTTCATCAAACTAGTCACTGCCTCCAACACAACTCTTTGCTGTCAGTTGGCCCATTATATCACGCAAGAGCCTCCTGGGCTAAAAGAAATCTCTGAATATATAGTCTTTAAAAGGTCAGAGGTCATTAATCAAGAAAGACTCATTACTTTAAGTTCAGAAAGCTAACCATTTTCTTCCAGCAGCCACCGGTGATGAAGGGTGCAA